ATTTTCTAAAATAAAAATATTTATGAGAAAGCAAAGTGTTCATAAAATTAACAAAAAAAATTCAACTTTAACATTTGCAGCGGTTTTTTTTTCATAATTGTATAGAAAATATACTTTTTTGCAACTTTGTTGAAAGTATTTTTAGTTTTCCAGTGTCCATCTTGAAAAAATGTATAAAGTTTCTTTATATATATGTATATTCATGATGAATAATGTCAGAAGATTTGAATAAATTTTTTTTTTTTAAACTTGTTCTGTGTGAAGAGTCTGTATATCAGGTTTATAGAACAAAAAGAAGAAAAAAAGCAGATTAAAAAAGTAATCGAAAAGTCTATTTAACGGAACTCTGCTAGAGAGGGATCATTCAACCTTTCAATCAAAATGGATGCAGTGTTCATTTAGAATCACCTTTGCGGTGAAAAGAAAATTCTATTTTGAGAGAATAAAATTCTTGATTTATTTATGAAAAATTTTTTATTTTCCTGTAAGAATTTTTTAATTTAAAAAATAAAGTTTTTGATATACTGTTTGGTATAGCATATTATTTTGCTATATTTTTGATTTATGTAAATTTTATTTTCATTTTTGAATTTGTATATGAATTATTTTGTTAATTTATTTTTACTTTATGAGTTTATCAATATTATTTTTATTCCACATAGTTGGTTTATTAATTTTACAGAAAAAAAAAATTAATTTTTCATAGGTTGAAATTTATTTTAATATTATTGATAATGGCTGGGCAAAAATAAATTCGACTTCCGGTGTATGTCTCGCAGAGTTAATATTGAATGTGATTTTAAAACAAAAAACAGAATTTAATGAGAATTATTTATTTTTGTCTTGAATAAGAGAGATGATTGAGTGGTCCTCAAGCATAGAAGATTTAATTTTTAATCGATGTCGATCGTTTTCATGAAGGATCGAATTGAGGGACGGTCTATTTTGAGATTGACCTCCGAACACGACAAGGTTCCTCGAAGTCGTAGAGATATACACCACTGTCATTGCGCCCTGCCAGAATACTAATTTTAATTTTTCCCTAATTTTTAGTCTTTTTTTCGAAATAATAATAATAATGTCAAAAAATTCTACTGCGGAAAAATAAATTTCTTTTGCAAAAAAAAGAAATATTTCTTTAAAAAATGAATTTAATTTAATTTAATTTAATTCTTTATTAAAGAAAACAAAAAATAGACAAATGTTTATAATGCAACTGATTAAAAATTAAAATACATAAACTCATGTGAAAAATTACTCCTTTTCTTAATTTCTAGTTATCAAAATTTTAACTATATAATTTTTTAAATTTTATTTATTTTAGTAAAAATATTTGTTTTATATTTTTTGAGTAATTTTTTTTTTGGCTTGTAGAATTTTTCGACTTGAATTATTACACTGATCGAAATCTTTGAGATAATATAATTAACCCCACGGTAGGAGATTAGATCCGGTGAGAAAATTTCATTTTAATGTTGCACGAGAATCGATTTAATCATAATCATCAGACTGCGGCTGCTGAAGATACTAATTAAATAATTAATGACACGCTAAACAACGTGTCTTGAAACAAATAACACTGTTAAGGTCGTGTCATGACGCTTAAAATTAATTACTTTACAATAATAATTAATTACAATTATCGATACAAATTAGATATTGCAAATATTTTTCAAACCAAAAAATTTTTTTTCCTCTTTTTTATCGTGTGTAATACAAAAAACACAAAAATGTGTTTATTACTTAATATTTATTTTTTTATATAAAGTATTAAATGAAATTAAGATTAAATAAATTAAATAAATTTAAAAAATTAAAAAGTATTAAATGAAATTAAGATTAAATCAATGAAATAAATTTAAAAAATTAAAAAGTATTAAATGAAATTAAGATTAAATAAATTAAATAAATTAAAAAAATTAAATAAAATTAAGAGTAAAAGAAAATTTCCATTGGCAGTTTTCGACAAATTTACGAACAAAGTGCGGAAAAAATTTAACGAATATAATGAGATATAAAAAATGGAATTAAATCGCCTTGATCTGCATTAAAAGGAGTCTAGGAAGTAATTTTGTTATAAAGAAAAAAGTACTTCATTTGTTTTTCTAATGCTTTGTTACTTTGACTTTTAAAGAATTTTTTGTTTATTATAAATAAAATTTTTAAGTTATTTTAAACTAAATGTCTAAGTTACATTTTAAATAAGACGTTTTTTTAATTTAATTTTTTTAATTAATTAATAGAATTAAATTAAATAAAAGAATCAAGACAATTGTTCTTTAAATTCATTTCATCAAATAAATTAAATTTTAATTTTAAAAGGACAAAAAAAAATTGTTCTTTAAGAACAAAAAAATTTTTAGATATACTTATCTTATTTTTGTGTATAATTTTCAAAAGGAAATGAAAGTGATTTAAAAAAAAAGTTGAAAGTTATGTGAAATAAAAATAAGAGAAAGGGGGAAAAAAAATTTTTTTTTCAGTGCAAGCCTATTTAGAGTGAGTGTGTCAAGCAGTAGCGTTTATTTTTGAGGATGTTGCCTTCGGTGATGCTTATTAGAAGATTTGAGTCTTGCAGAGGCCTCGAGTCTTCTTTTGCCCTAGTTGCCGTATGAATTCAAGCTTAAGTTGTACATAAAAGCCATGTCCTCGTCTCAAATTACAATTCTAACTTAGAAACAATTCCAGAAATGAACGATAAACTCTTTTTATAGTTTAAAAGAAGTTTTACCGTATTTTCCTTCCTTAATGATAAAAATTCAAGGAAATCCATTTTGACGATAAATTTTTAACGAAAAAATTCAGTTTAAAAATATAAAATAAAAATATTTATTTTATTATAATTTAGAGGTCTTCAGTGTCTATTATATTATATTTTATTCAATAATTATAATATTAGGTCAAACAATATTATTTTTTGGACAAAATAAAAATTATATTTTTAATTTCCTTTTTTTATTTATTTTTTTTATCTGTAAATTTTCATTTTGGAGTCAAAATTATTGTAATTTATTCAATAATTATAATTAAGACAAACAATATTTTTTTCTGACAAAAACAAAATTTTATTCATTTTTTTTACTTTTCTTAATTTCTAAAAAAATTTTCATTTTATTCAGGTTTTATTTTTTCAGAAATTTTTAATTTTAGTGTCAATTGTATTATAATATATTCAAAAATAATAATTAAATAAAAGACCTTTAAATATTATTTGGTCTAATGGCGTTAGCCATTAGGCCAATAAATATTTAAAGATCTTTTATAATAATTTGCTTTAATTTGTTAATTTGCCTTAAATAAAATTTTATTTCGTTCAAAATCATTTTTTTAATCTTTACACTCAGTGAAAAATTTTTTATTTAAATAAAATAGAATTTATTTAAAACAAATAAAATTCATTTGAGCCGAATAAAATTTATTTGCACCAGTATAAAATTTATTTGATTATAAATTTATTTCTTTTTTTTATTTATTATTTTACTGAGGATTTATTTATTTTTTAAAATTTTTTGAAAGATTTTTTTTATTATTTTTCTGATAGTCTTAACTTTAGTGACGATTTTAATTTAAAATATATTCAATAATAGTAATTAAATAATATTCAAATATCATTTATATTAATTATTAATATTATTATTTGGTTTCAGAAAAATGTATTAACTGATATTCAATAATTGTGGTTTTTTTAAATTGATAATTAAAATTTTAAACTCGATTCGTTTTGAATTACGAAATTATTATTTTTTAATTAAAAAAACCTATAATTAAATTCAAAATAAATATTAACTTTTGGTTCTTGTATAATTTCATATTTTAATAAATAGACTTGATTAAATAAAAAATCATTAATTTATTTCATACGAAATAATATTGAAATTAAGTTTCCTCTACTATTTTAGTCAGAAATAAAATTAAAAAATTTATTGACAATTGTAATATTGATGATAATAATAAAAAATAATAATAATCATTTGTTTGTGAATAATTCAGAAAAAATTTAAAATATTAAAAATAATAATAATGAACAAAATCACAATAAAATATATATAAAGTAGTAAAAATTGTTTTTTAACTTGAATAAATAAAAAAAAAATATTTTTTTTTATGTATATTTAATAAATATTTTTTTTTTTTTTTGAAATATGGAGTGAATTTTAAAAAATGTCTGTATATTACATTCGAGTGAGTAGAAATAATCCCAGTTTTTAGGGGAGAGGAAAAAATTTGCCTATGTAACGTTTCTATGTAAATTTATTTTTTATCTTCTGCACTGCTGCAATATATACACATATATATAAAATCTCTGACAAAAGATTATTTAAACCGTGAAAAATTCTTTTATTCGCTACTGATTCTTTTTTTCAAACAATTATTATATAGTTATAGTTTTATAAAATATGTAGAAAATTTATTTTAATTACTCATTCGAAAAATGAAATCTTATTATTCAGTTATTGATTCAGTAACTTTATAATTTATTATTTTTTGACAAAAATATTTTCAAAAATTACTAAAAAATGAAATAAAAAAGCAAAAATAAAAAATTAAATATATTGAATCTTTATGAATTATTTTTCAAATACGTGACACCAAAAAATTTGAATTTGAAGAAGTTTCAAAGTTCATTTGAAGTTTTCAACGTTCAGAACTGCAGGACATTATTTAATTTTTGTGCTCAATTGAATTTTATTTATTGAACACACGTGGAAATTTCCAAACTATTAATTTGTAAAATGAATAAAAAACAAAAATACGATAAATTTTACGAATAGAAATAAAATAAAATAATTTATTTTTCATCAATAAAATATATTGACGAAAATTTATTTTCGTCATAATATTTTATTGATAAAAGATAAAGTTTAATTCAATATTATTCTATTAAATTTTGTTCTCGATATGAAAACTTATGGATATTTCATTCAATATTTAATGTCTTTCTCTCTCTCTCTTTTTTTTTTCCTGTGCTCTGTGTTAAAAAATTTCTTTTTCGCTTTCAGAATGGAGACTTGTGCATATCGATTTTACATCCACCAGTAGATGATCCACAAAGCGGTGAGCTTCCATGTGAAAGGTGGAACCCAACTCAAAACGTCAGGTATTAAAAAATAAAATGGAGATTATTTTACTCTTTGAAGGAAGAAATATTTCCCTTCCTTCTTTTTTTCCTTTTTGCTTTTAACGATTGAAATATTTTTACTGATACAAAAATATATAAAAATATAACTATGTTTCGTATGGGTTTAAAGTATAAAATTACGTGAGAGAGAAAAAATTCTGCAGCCGATTTTTTTTTTCATTTGGGAAATTAATTTTGATGGTTTTTATTGCATAAATTTTTGTCTTTTTTCGAAAAAAATATATAAAGAAAAATAGTTTGCAAGATATTAAAATTTTTAGGAATATTTATAGAACTGAAGAAATAATTTTTTTCAGATACTTAATATAGTTACTTTGGAATTAATTAATTTAATTCATTTTTGTATTTCCTTTTTTGAAAATGAGAAGGAAAATAGTCCTCAAAATAAATTGGAATAAATTTTTTGGAAATATATTTTTAAAAGTAAGGGAATAATTTTTTTTGTATTTTTTAATGCATTTGAATTTGTTTAATTAATTTTGTATGGTACATTTTTTGGAAAAAGAGAAGAAAAATAGTGCGCAAAATAAATTGCAATATTTTCTTTTTGGAAATATTTTTAAGACTAACCCATAATTATTTTTCAACATTTTAATACTTTGGAAATGTAATTAAATAAATATAAAATATTTTTTAATTGTCGAAGAAAAAGACCAGATTATTAATTAATTTTTGAATTAGAAATTTGTTTTCTTCTTATTTTATTTCTTTTAATCTACTAATAAAGATTTTTGCAATCAACTTTGAGAAGGAAATTTGAAAAATGAATATTTATTTATTTACCTATTCATTTTCCTTTTCAAAATAAAAAAAAATTGTTTAAAAATAAATTAAGTTTAGTAATAAAATAATAATAATGGTTTTATAAATTTTCATACGGAATTTAAAACTATTTTATTGAAAAAAAAATTTGCTGCATATAATAATTAATTAAAGGTAACTTTCCTCTGTTAATTAATTAATAATATATGTAATATTATTATTAATACATAATAATTAAATAATTATATGAAATAATTTGTATTTGTTTTTCAATTTAAAATAGAGAATTTCAGAAAAAAATTTTTTTCCTCCTTTGAAAAAATTTATTTTTCTTCATCTCGAGATATAAAAATGTATAAAATTGATTGATTTTTATTATATTATTATTTTTTTTAAAAGGACAATCCTGTTGAGTGTGATCTCGCTCTTGAATGAGCCCAACACATACAGCCCTGCCAATGTCGATGCCTCAGTGATGTACAGACGTTGGCGCGACTCCAAAGGACGGGACAAAGAATATGAAAATATCATCAGGTAAGAGTTTCCATTGTCCAGAAGTAATTGTCGGATTTTTAAATCTTTTGTTTCGAAAATTGCTTCATTGTCAATCGTTGAAAACAAAACGCTTTGTTCAATTTTTTTTTCTGCAAAAAATCCAATTAATTTGAGAAAAAATTGTTCAAAAAACCCTGAAAATTTTATTGGGACATTTTTCATAAAATTAGTTTAGAATTTTAACTTTGATTTTAAGTATAATTTTTGGTTTTCATTTAATTTTTCCGTTTCTATTTAATTGTTTGTTAATTTAATTTTTTTGATTTACTTTTTGCTATTATTCATTTTTCTTTTTATTCCATTTTCTTTATTTAATTTTTCTTTTTAATCTTTTTGATTTAAATTTTGTTTATTTATTTATATTTTTAATTCAATTTATTCAATATTTCATTTAAAATTTTTATTCAAATTTTTGTTTATTTCGTTTTTCTTTGTATTTAATTTTCTTTATTTAATTTTTATTTTTTTGATTTAACTTTTGTTTATTTAGTTATTTTTAATTCAATTTATTCAATATTTCTTTTAAAATTTCTATTTAATTTTTGTTTATTTCGTTTTCCTTTTTATTCAATTTTTTTATATAATTTTTCTCTTCAATTTCCTTCATTTTTAATTTCATTTTCGTTTATTTAGTTTTTCTTTTAATATTCAAATTTTTTATTTAATTTTTGTTCATTTAGTTCATTCAATTTTTCGTTTTAATTTTTGTTTCTTTAGTTTTTCTGTTTATTGATTTTCTTTATTTAATTTTAATTTTTATTTTACTTCATTTTTAGTTTTTATTTTCGTTTAAATTTTTGTTTATTTAGTTTTTTGTTTTTAATTTTTTTAATTTTTAATTTCATTTTAGCTTTTCTGTTAATATTGAAATTTTTTATTTAATTTTTGTTCATTTGGTATTTTTCATTCAATTTTTCTTTTTAATTTTTGTTTATTTAGTATTTTTTTATTTAGTTTATTTTTTTTATTCAATTTTTATTTTTATTTTTTATTTAATTTTTGTTTATTTAGTTTTTCTTTTTAGTTTTCTTATTTACAATGTCCCTTAAGTTTTTGATTGTTCAAATGAATAATAATCAGTATTTTCTAAAAAAAAAGTAAAGATAAATAATTATTAAAAAAATATATTTTCTCAAAATTTCTGAACGTCGTAAACGAAATATTTTTTCATTATAAATATTTATCAAAAAATAATTGACTGTCATAAAAAATAAGAAAATACGTTCAGAATTTTTACAGAAATTATTTACAATATTATTAGTTAATATTAATTAATATATTAATGCAAAATAAATAAATATTAATGTCATTATTAATATTATTATTATTATTATTATTATTATTACCACTAATTTTTTGATTGATTGATTGATTGATAAGAATAAAATTTTTAATTCCGTTATTTTTCTCATTCTTTTTAAGGAAACAAGCGCAGGCTGCAAAAATGGAAGCGGAGAAAGAAGGAATCGTCGTTCCATTAACATTAGAAGATTATTGCATAAAAACACGAGAAAGGCCTGTTGAACATCAACTCGATATGACAGATTTTTACGATGACGAGTATGAGCTCGATGATGATGAGGACGAGCAATTGAGTGCAAGTGATTACGAGGATGGCGACGACAGCGGTAACGGAGAGTCGTGATCCATTTCATAAAAATAAAAAAAAAAGAAAGAAAAGAAAAGAAAGAAAATCCCAGAAAAAGAAGAAAAAAGTTTACGACAAAAAAAAAGAACTTTTTCAATCCAGTTCTGTATAGAGTATTAAATTAACGAGCTTCTGAACTGGACGCTGCTGATGTTGCGTGAACATTACAAAAAAAAAATTCACACGAACAATCGTAATAGATTTTCGAAAAAAAAATTACACAACTTGTCTTTTTAAATTCTGGAGCTTTTGCTTTGGAGAAGAGAAGAGCAAAAAACTTGTATTAGATTATTAAAAAATATTAAAATCCCTAGTGGTACTTATACAATATTTACAACGTTTAGAGCGTGGAAAAAAATTGGTTAAATGCGCAATGTTTTCCTTTTTTTTTGAACTATTGTAGCGTTTCTTTTATAGTTAGTGCAATCACTTGCCCTTATAAATTTTGAATTTATCTTTTTTGTTTATAATTTAACAATCGTTTATAATTCGAAACCTCGTGTTCTCAAAAATAAAAAAGTTTTTAAGTATATTTTCTATTGTGATATTTCGAAGAGTTTTTTTTTCTCTTTAGTTCTCTTTGAAGAAAGATTTCGAAATTTACCAATTTGTAAATTTAATTTTTTGTTAAATTGAATTCATTGACTTAATATATATATATAAACATAAAATAAAAAAAATATATAGAAATAAAGATCGCAAAAAAATATTGACATCGAATTTTTTAATATTTATCATCGCAATGAAATTTTATTCGAAAAAAAAGAAAAATTGCCCTGTTTGGAAGCTCCTTAACTTAAGCTGACGGTATATGAATATAAATACTTGGATAGAAAGCACTGTGCTTGTTGTGTTGTGACTGGCACGTTAATCTTTTCATTCGACCGGCAAATTATTCCATTCATTGATCTACGAATAATTTTTTTTTCTCATTCAAAAAAAAAAGATATATTTTTTTCTTTTTGAATTTTCTATTTATTTTTTAATGCCTGATTTATGAATGGAATTGTCGCGAAATCGAAATGTAATAATAATGATGATGATTATGATTCACGTGTAGAAGAAAAAAAAACAAATTATGTTTTTTTTTGTGGTTATATTTATGCCGCGTGAAAATCGAAAAATATATTAGTAGTAATATCTAAAATAATTGGATTTGTTAAGACAAAAAAAAAAAAAAAAAGAAAAGTTGGAGTCAGGAAAAATCTGTCGATGAGATGATGATAATGATGGGAAGATTTTCGTATTCTTCGCTTTAGGTTTAAATGCCGATATAAATAAGGCGTAAATTATCTAATCTAGATATTCCCTGTCTCTACTATTTAACAAATTTTTAGACAAAAATATTTTATTGTTATTTTTGCCTCGGTTTTTTCTTCAATATTTTCGAAATGTACAAAAATAATAATCGTGTCTCTTTTCTATTTTTTTGAGGGGAAAATTTTTTCTTTGAATTAATTGAAAAGGAAATTTTGAATTAGTAGCAATACATTTTTCTGGTTTTTTTTAAGTCGAGGTAATTTTTAAATTTTGTTCTAATTTTCTTTTGAATTAGCGAATTTAGAAAAATTTAACCGAGTGATAATTATCAAGCATTATAAATTTTTTTGTTTTAATGTTTGAATTAAGAATTTTTAATTGTAGTGAGAATTTTTTTATTAATTAAATTAGAATTTCGAATATTTTTGAAAGTGGGAAAAAAATATTGTTTTGAATGACATTGACGTTTGGGATTTGAATTTTATTCATTTTTATTCCCGAACGCAGGTCTTCCGTGAGAAATTCAGTTATACACTTTCTGTTAAAAGAGACTTTTTTTATAAGTTTTTCTGACCTATTTTTGTTAAATATTTTTCTTTTTCTTAAGACAGTACTTTTTACAATATATATTAAAATTATCAGAACAATGGAAATATATATTGCGCCTATACGTCATTAAGAGTTTGGCTTTACGATTATTCGATCCAAGATCTCCGGATGCGATTCACAAGTGAAACAATGCACCATTTTGCTCATTTTTGACAAAAAAAAGAAAAATGTGTATTGATTTGTACGAATGTAAATAGATCGTCAATTTTTCGAAATGTGAGAGAAGAATATTTCTTTTATTCAAAAAAAAATTCACTGTCTTTCTGTTCTTTATCGGTGAATTTTCGATAATCGACCAAAATTCACGTGTCAAAAACTTCAATATGTTAGAACGACGAAATAAACAAAACAAAAAAAAAATTAGAAAAGGAAAGAATATTTCATCGCCTCAATGTTCGTTTTTTCTTTCTGTACTTTGAGGCTCTCTCTTGATTCGTATCCTAGTTCCACAACTTTAATTTATCCTCTCCAAACTAATTGATTGTGGTAACAATTTTTAAAAGTAATTATCGTAACCAAAAAAAAATAATTTTTTTATTATTCTTCGTTGTTGAATTGTGAAAAATTAATTCAATATTAATATTACTATTAGTACATAATTAACAGTCAATAACTATTTTTTTCAAATTAAAAACGTGAGAATAAATTATTTTTAATAATTGTTATCCTCGAGTAATGAAAAAAACATACAGAATTGAATGTCGATTGTTGTTCAGCGAGTATTTGTCTGCATTTAAAGAAAGAAAGAAAAATTTAAAGGTGCACGCGATAACGAACTTTGTACTTTTTATACTTAGAGCAATGCTGCAAATCGGCTGTTCCAATTGAAGATCATTTTAATTAAAGTAATTCACCTGTTTCCGCCTCTGTAAAACTATTGATGCATGAAATTGACAAATTTTCACTAAATCTATTCTTTTTTTTTAAATAAAATTTCATCCTTTTTATGAAACAAATTAAAATTTTTTTTCCTTAGGAAATTTTATTGAAATAGAAAAAAAGGTAAAAGTTGAAAAATTATTTTCAATTAAATTAAATATTATAACAATAATGATTCTATCACTCAAATCGTCAAATAATTAATATTTTTATATTATCAAGAAATTAGTTTATTTTGTTTCATAAAAAAGAAAATAGTAAAGAAAATATAATATTTTTATATATCAATTCGTTGGATTTTTTTTCAATTAAAAAAAAAAATTGTGGTGATGGGTGAAATACGTTAATATTGATAAACATTAAAATCGCTTTTCATTGAGAAAAGAAACATCATTAGAACACCAAGGGCTTTTATCAAGTCGCTATATTACATTTCCGGTTACATAATTGTAACCGAGTGTACAGAGTTTTTTGTATGACAATATATTTTGCGAACCCGGTTTTCTCAGTTCGCTCTTTAAAATAATATTTGTAACTATAATCTCCCCTTCTTGTTTCATGGAAACCACCACTTAACAATTACTAATGTGCAAGTATATTACAAGACAGAACTGATTAGTTTATAATAGTATTTTATGACTTATTATTATTAATATTAATTATTATTATTATCATTATTATTACTATTAGTAGATAAATGTATACAAAATATATATTAAATCTCGTGATTCACCTGTAAGTGTGTATTTGTCATGTTTAATATTAAAAAAAAAAAGAAAAATTTAATTTAAATAAATCTATCGATGTATACACGCTTTACAAAGCATAAATCGATGATTCAAAAAAGTTCCCTTTTCTCATATCCATACGAAATTCGTTTTCATTCATCAACTCTAGTTTTTTACAAAACAAAAATAATTTTTCGTTTTCATTCCTCAACTCAAGTTTTTCATTTAATTGTAATAATAATAAAAAAAAATTGTAATAATAATTTAGATGAAACGAATTTCGATGGATAGAAATTTTAAAAATATTTTACAAAGGTATTTGTAAAATATAAATGCTTTTTTCGAGTTTCTTTTTTTTTGAATTCTACTCAAGGAATTTTTTTAATTATCTATTTTTCAAGAAATTTAATTTAACGCTATTTAAAGTAAAAACTGCATTCAAAAAAGAAATATAAAAATTTATCTTTCGCGTCATTCATTCACTGAGAATACTGAGATCGTCGCGAAATGGAAGAACACAAAATTATTGTATAAATTTAATTAAAATTTAATTAATATTGATTTAGTTAACAATTAAAAAAGAATTGAAAATAATTTTTGAAAATCAAAAGAATTCAAAAATATTTCGAAAGTAATTCAAGAATAATTCGAAAGTAATTCAAAACTAATTCGAAAGTAATTGAAAAATAATTAAATTCAACTAATTTATCGAATTTAAAATCGAAAATATAAGAAAAAAAAGAGAGAGAGATAAAAAGAAAGAAAATTGAGGTAAATTAATTATAAACGTATCGAACTTGGAATACCGACTAGTAAATGATTTTTCGGCGTACATGTTTCTGGCACTAATTTCCCTAAATGAACTTTATAACCAAATTGTTCAGCTTGAAGTCTACGATCCGTGTCAATTATTTCCATACACTCGTAACCCTGCTTTGTTTTTGCATTATAAACATCGTGAGTTTGATCTGCCGCATGACCAAGTACCATATAACTACGATTTTCAATTAGATTTTTGAAAAACTCACTTCTCGGATACGTAATGTGATGACAATCGTGAACCGATCCATAACAACAAGGACAACAAATGAATGCTGCATTTCTCCGGATGCAATGTTGAATCACCAGGTCCGTTGCCACACCACAAGCGTGTAATGACATTCCAATGTTAAAATTACCCTGAAAAATATTTTCTTTTTTCAATAAAAGTGAATTTCAATTAAATAAAATAGTTGAATAAAAAAAAAAAATTATATTTATTCAACTGTTTCTTTTTTTTATAAATTAATAAATATTTTGAAATTACTTTTTACTTTATTAATTTGAAATTAACAAATATTACGCGGGATATTCCATTTATTAAGAGCTATTATACAAATTACGAAATTTATTTTCAAATATTTCAATTTTTTACTTTAAAATAATTTCATACATTTAAAAATTTTTAATTTAATTATTGACTATTTTACTAAATTATTTTTTACTATTTTCAGAAATTTTAATAAAATTCTTCGAAAGAATTCAATTATTATTCTCAAAAAATTTTAATTAAATTCATGAAAAGAATTCAATTTTATTTTTAATATTTTCAATTCAATTTCAATATTGAATTTCTCGAAAGAATTTAATTATTTTCATGATAATTTTAATAAAATTCAAAATAATTCAATCATTTTAATGTTTAAAAAAATTCTTTGCAGGGATTTAATTATTTTCAATACAATTTTAATAGCATTCCTTGAGAGACTTCAATTACTTAAACAAATTTTGGTAAAAATTTTTCTAAAAAATTCAATTGTTTTTAAAAATTTTGATAAAATTCTTTATAAGAATAAAAGAATTTTAAACAATTTCCAAAACGGAGCAAAAAATAGCTTTGAATGCCAAAAATTACCAAATTTATTAATGAAGAAAATTTTAAATTCAATATTAAGAAAATTAAAGTAAATATTAATTGAATAATTAAATTAATACTTAAATGTTTCAGAAATATTTAAATTTAGTTAAATTAAGAATCGTAAATTGAAATATCGTACAATTTTAATTGAAAACAATTGAATTTTATCCGTATTTTAATTAATGGACTTTCAATTTTTTTTAAGTAATTGAGTTTTCACAAAAATGTCAAAAGTACTAAAAACAATTAACTTACAGAAAAATTTTAATTAAAAATGCTAGAAAATTTTTGAATTTGTTTCTTTTTTTTTAAATAAACTTTCCTTTTTCTAAACAATTAGAATTTTCAAAAAGCTTTATCAAAATTACTAAAAATAATTAATTTACAGAAGAATTTTAGTTAGAAATTTTGGAAAATAATTGAATTTTGGAAAATTTACAGTTGTAATTTTCAAAAATAATTAAATCTTAAGATTTGAAATTGTAAATTCTATTGTAATTCTTGTTGGAAAAATATATAAGTATTTAAAATAATTTAACAAAAATACTGAAGTGTTGGATAATTTAATTTAGGAATTCTGAAAAAGTTTAATTACAATTTTTTCAAGATAATTGAATTCTCGAAAATAATTAATTGAAAAATTAACTAATTATTGAAATATCGTTCAATTTTAATTGAAAACAATTGAATTTTATAAGTATGTTAATTAATGAACTTTCAATTTTTTTTTAAATGGTAATTGAGTTTTCACAAAAATGTCAAAAGTACTAAAAACAATTATTGTACAGAAAAATTTTAATTACAAATGCTAGAAAATTATTGAATTTTTTTCCTCTTTTAAACGGACTTTCCTTTTTTTTAAATAATTTAAAGTTTCAAAAAGCTTCATCAAAATTACTAAAAATAATTCATTTAGAGAAGAATTTCAGTAAGAAATTCCAGAAAATAATTGAATTTTGGAAAATTTACAATTATAATTTTCAAAAATAATTAAATCTTAAGATTTGAAATTGTAATTTCTATTGTAATTCTTGTTGGAAAAATAAATAAGTATTTAAAATAATTTAATAAAAATACTGAATTCTTGGATAATTTAATTTAGAAATTCTGAAAAATTTTAATTAAAATTTCTTCAAGATAATTGAATTCCCGAAATTAATTGAAATTATTGTATTGAAAAATCTGGAAATAATCGAAATACTTATCGTTAAATAATAATTGAAAATTCATTTAAACGTATTTTAAATGAACTTTCCTTTTTTTAAATAATTGAACTCTCAAAAAACCTTCTCAACATTTAAGAATTGTTTCGCAACAATTTAAAATTACTTAAAAAAATTGATTTAGAGCAGAAGTTTAGTTAGAAATTCTAAAAATATAATTCTAAGAATCTTACCTTAAAATAATCTAAATTACATTGAAAGAACTTGACATTGTTCAATTGTAATTTCTTCACCCTTTCTTTGGCTTTATTCAACGACTCTTCTTTATTCTCTAATAAAATCACATTGCATCGTGGCAGTAGGTATGCAATAATTATTCCTAAATGTCCACTACCAGAGCAAAAATCAACAATAATATCGCCGTCCTTAGCGATACTGATAACAGGCTTACAAAGATTTTCCAATTGCTCAAACTTCCTCTTCAATCGACTAATAGGCAAAGCACCACCTTCTGGAGTTGCGTCAAATGGTATCTCTAACCAATCAAAATTATCATCACCAGCAAAAATAACACCAGTCAATGATGTCTTCACATCGGCATTTCTTATTATTTCCAGTGAATTATCAATATCCTCCTGCCTCGTAAATATCCTATTCCTCGGCTTATATCTCTTTGGATCGCTTTTATATAGACTTTGATTTTGAACAACGGGAAGAATATAATTTCTACTATTATCACTCTCTATCTCCTTCAACTCCTCGATAATTGTCAAACATTCAAAAATCCTCTCGTCCTGAATCATTCTCGTATACCATTTGAAAGTAAGTGGTAAAATTTCAATAATTTTCTCATTCCACACTCTTGTGATATTTATGTTGTCAAGAAAAATGTAAATACAGACAAATATTATGATATCGGCGAGGGAAATTGTCGAACCCTCGGCGTAAATATGTTCGGGAGTTTTGCAAGTTTTGGAAAATTTCTTTGACATTGTGTACTTGTAGAGATTATGTAAACGCACTGGTTGTGACATGTGGCATTCATATCTTGCCAGAGTCACTGGTAATTCGTTGGAATTAACGTCGAAAAATTTCAGAGTCGATATAATGTCAACTTCGCAAAATTTCGTCCAAACACTGACTTCGGAGCAGGCGAGTAGACACGAGTCCTTAAAACCCAAGAGACCTTGACAATGATCGTTTGTCAGTGATTGTTTTATTATTTCTCTTAAAGTGGCGCAAAGTCCGGCAATGTAACTGTGTTCATTGACAATAATATGTGGCAATGCGCATGAATTTGCAACATCCTGGGGAACATCCTCTAAAATCTCGTGGCGAAATGTTGAAATATCAATATTGTAGAGTTTTTCTTGTGGTTTATTTTTGCCTTTTATGAATTTAATTTTTATATCAGATTCACAGTATTTTATTGTGAAGAGTGTGATTATTGTCTCTATCGGAGCGGTATACGACTCTGACAATTGGTACAAATCCAAAAATACTTTTTCCATAATTTCTCAGCTATGAAAAACAAGTGTTACGCACTTGATCTCAATTGTCTTGCAACTTTTCGAATTATCCGCTGACGGAGAATATTTTCCCTCCAACACACGCTGAGATATGACAAAATTGCGAAAGCTAACATGAAACTTTCAAATTTCCAGAATGCTCTCTCTTCTAACCAAGCCACCTTATCGCAACTAGAAAAGAAAAACGTACATATCTGAATAGAAGAAAATTTAAAAAAATCTTTGATTGAAAATACTTTTTTGTAATTGTACTTTCTTGAAATATTCTTGTTGCAAAAAAAAAAATTATCTTGAACAGGGTTGCCACAAACATTTAATTTTCTTTTTCCCTGATTTCCAGAAAAAATTTTGACTTCTTCCCTGACCCTAAAAAAAATTCTGATTCACTCTAAAAATTATTAGAAACTCAAAAAAATGTTCTAATACATTTATTTACAAATTTCTTTAATTGGAAAATTATTCAAAAACATCAATAACTTCATTTTTAAATAAATATTTAATCATTATTATTTTTTTATGGGAATTATGATTTTCAAAAATTTTAAATTGCCATTATTAGTAACTTATCCAAAATTCAATTATTATCCAAATCTTTAACTGAAATTATTTTTAAATCCATTTTTATTAGAAAATTCTACGAGAATTCAATTATTTAAATACAAACATAGATAATTTATTGAATAGTTGAATGATTCTTAAAATTGAATTCTTATCCATAATTTTTATCAACAAATTATTAAATAATTAAATTCTTTAGACGAATTTTAATAAAATTTTTAAGAATAATTACATTTTTGTCGAGGTATTTTATTAAAATTGTATTAAAAATAATTGAAATTCTGCAATGAGTTTTATTATTTATAAAAATAATTAAATTATTGCGAACAATTTTATAAAAAAGTTTCAAACAATTGATTTTTTTTTTGAAAAAATTTATGCAATTCTATTTTTAATAATTGAATTCCTGTGAAATATTCATTATTTTAGAAGATAATTGGATATTCGTGTAGAATTTTGTTAAAATTGTTTTTAAATAATTGAATTCTTTTGGTAAATTTTATTAAAATAGTAAAATAATGAAAATCATTGAAATAAGAACAATTTTTGAAAATAATTTAAATTTTGCCATTAATTTTATTAAAATTTTTGAAAATAATTTAATGCCAAATTTTAAAACACTTGATTTCTCGAAAAAATTTATGCAAATTCTATTTTAAATAATTGAATTCATGTGAATTTTTCTTTTTTTTTTTAAACAATTGAATGTTTGTGTAGAATTTTATAAAAAATTTTGTTGATTAATTGAATTTTATTACTTTTGAAAATATGTAATTGAATTCTTGTGATGAATACTATTATTTATGAAAATAATTGAATTTTGCAATTAATTTTATTATAATTCCTGAAAATAATTATTGAATTTTTGCGATGAATTTTATTACTTTTGAAAATAATTGAATTTCTGAAATCATTTTTACCTTCTCCAAAATTCAATTTTTTAAAAATATTTTTAACTAAATAATTCTATAAATCCATTATTGTTAATAATTAATTAAATACATATATTAAACAATTTAACAAATTTCAGAAGAATTAGAGTTATTAAAATTTTTCAAAAATCTAAGTTCTTTAAAATTTCAAATTTAATTTATTCAAATTTAAAATTTCAGAAAATTTCAAATTTTGCAATGAATTTTATTAAGATTCCTGAAAATAATTGAATTTTGTCGAAGAATTTTGTTAATTATTTATAAAGATAATTGAAATGTTGACAATTTTTTTTAGATTTTTCGAAATAATTGAATTTCTGCGAAGAATTTTATTAATTTTTTAAGTAATTGAATTCTTGTGATGAATATTGTGATTTTTGAAAATAATTGAATTTTACAATGAATTTTATTAAAATTTCTAAATATAATTGAATTTCGACGAAGAATTTTGTTAATTATTTATAAAGATAATTGAAATGATGGCAATTTTTTTTAGATTTTTTGAAAATAATTGAATTTCTGCGGAGAATTTAATTAATTTTTAAAATAATTGAATTGTGATGAATATTGCTATTTTTGAAAATAATTGAATATTACAATGAATTTTATTAAAATTCCTGAATATAATTGAATTTCGGCAAAGAATTTTGAAATTTATAAAGATAATTGAAATATTGAGACTTTTTTTTCTATTTCTGAAAATAATTGAATTTCTGGAAAGAATTTTGATATTTATTAAGATAGTTGAATTCTTTCAAAGTATTGCGTTAAAGTTTTTAAAACTGAAATTAATTTCAACAGAATTGAAATTAAAATTTTTCAATAAAATACTTAATATTAAATGATTTATAAGTAATAACTTTATGGCAGTTCTTCAATAGAATTAAGTTATTTAAAATAAAATTATTGTCAGAATACAAATTCTTTATTTTACCTTCTCGTGACAGTTTCACCACTTTTGCATTTTAAAACTTCTTTGTAACGAGAATGAATACAAATTCCTATGCTTTTGCTAGCAATCTCGAGAGTCGTGCAAGGTTGACATTCGGCAATAATTTCGTATGTTTCGCCAGCTAAACAAGATGAATTATTTTCAAAAACCTCAACGAAAGGTTTACTTGTTGAAGAATCCGTCCAGTGACTCTCGACAATAAGGACCAAAATTGTTAAACTAAAAATGGAAATTGTTAAAAAAATGAAAAATCGTATTATTGAATTTATAAAATTAGATTAGAATAATTGATTAATTAAAGAATTAATAACTTCTTACATTAAAATACAAAATACTGCATCGAATACCTACCCTCCCAATAATGTTATGACAAGTAACATACGTTTCTTCGTACAAAATTCAATCATTTCCGTTTATCAGATCCTTGATTATGTTTATAATTCATAAAATTTTATTTTTCTTTATATATTTTATGCACCCTCGGCTGCCCTCGGCACAAAAATAATATTTTTCTTTTAAATAAAAAACACGACGAAGAAACAATTTTTAGGTTATGAACATATTGTTCGCACAAAGTTCCAAAATCACTCGTCAGGTGTCAAAAAATTCACCCGGGAGATTTTGAAATAAATTTCTATCAAAAATAATATCAGAAATAAATAAATCTGTAAGAATTATTAATTAATTAATTATAATAAATTAATTTATGGTGTTACAATTCACCCGGGCGATTTTAAAATGAATTTCTATTAAAAATAATATCATCACAAATAAATAAATCTGTAAGAATAATTCATTACAATAAATTAATTTTATTGAAAGTAATAAAAAAAATATTTCCATACCATCAGTCAAATAAATTTTCCAAAAATAAATCCGACAGTCCTTCATCATTTAAATTATCATTATTTTTTGCACATTTACTCGGTAATGATTCATAAACACAGCGAGTAATTTCATAAGGATTCGAATTCACATTTGGAGTTAGATTAAAATATTCTTCGATAAAATTCAAAACAGAATTCTCATCTTGCAAGACATTGAAAATTTTTCTCTCCGTTTTGGGAACAACTTTTTCCAGCATAAAAACTAAATGATGATGAAAAGTTAGAAAACTGGTTGGAATTGCTGATGTTATATCAAGCCAATCTTGAATACAATTTATTGTTGTTACATTCGAGCCGGAAAATAAAGTGGGATTTGTTAAAATTCCACCAGCTGACATGACGCCATTACATCTGGATTCTTCTGTTAGATGTAATGCATCGTCGAGTGTTTTTACAGCTCCATTGGCAATTACTGGAATTTTAACAGAGTCACGAAGAATTTTCAAACTCTCTAAATCAATTGGATCGTTTCTCATTTCAGGTGTGCGAGCGTGAATCGTAAGAAACGATGCACCTGCTTTTTCGATTGTTTGACAAATGTTTACGGCTTCTTTCAAATTTTTCAAGAGGCGAATTTTCACGGAAACTGTGAAAGGCTTGGGAATGTGATTTCGCACTTGGTTGATTAGATCTTTAATTACTTGAGGCTCCTTTAATAAATGTGCTCCGTATCCTTCTTTCATCGCCCAACGTTGCGGACAGCCACAATTTAAATCCACTCCATTGGAATATCTGCAAAAGTCAACAAAATCTGTAAATTTGAATTCTAAATTCAATTTCGGAGTCTGAATTCAATTTCCAGACTTTGCACTCAATAATTAATTTTAAAAAGTAGCTTTAAGACTGAAAAAAGTGGTAAAAAAATAGATATGGAAAAATTAAATTTGTCGAATTTTTTCTTATCCACAATTATAAATTAACTAACGGTGCAATCATTTCTGCAGCTTGAACAAAATCGTCGGCATTTTTTGCAGCAAATTGAACAATTAATGGTTTGTCATCTTGATTAGTGGTAAATTCAATATCACGAGCCTTCGAGGATTGTACAAAAGAATCTGCTAATATCATCGGCGTGAAGCAAATATCGCAATTGTATCGTCTCACCAATGTTCGAAATTGCAACCTAAAAATTTTGATCTCACTTTGAGCAAACATTTATTATTAAAAAATAAATATAATCAACTATTTTTACTTACTTGCTGTACCTGACCATGGGGGCACATATCCTGGTCATTTTTTCATTTTCCAATAATTCCATAACGTCAGAAATCATTTTTTAAAAAAACTAAAATCACAGAACTTTTTCTCTAAATAAAAAAAACTTTGACGAACTGTCAAAAAAACACGTGGTTTCCTATATATCTATATACTGAAAACTGGAATATCTTGTGGTAACAATAACAATTTTGTTAATTTGTAAAGTTTCGCAAATTTCACAAAATTTGGAAAATTAATATTCATTAAATCAAAATCTTAATTATAACCTATAAAAACTAATTGTTGTCGTTGTTGCCCTTCCTTGTCAATTATAGGAAATTTCGTAAATTTCTTTAATTGTTGATAAATCTGATAAATTCAGATAAATTTCATACATTTCATAGATTTCATAAATTCCCAAGAAACATAACCTAAAAAAATTTCTTACGTCATGATTTGAAATGCGCACGTGCATAAAAGAATTGCAAAATAAATGTAAAAATGTACGTAAGAAAATACCGGTGTTTAAATTATTTGCAAATTAAATGTTCGAGAACAATTTACTGACAAAAATAGAAGAGATTTTGAAGAGTATTTTTCCGAATTATAGTTGTAATCGGTTTGATCGTTTTGTTATTGTCCCTTGTCCCGCAGAACTTAAAAGCAGGTATGAAATTGATATTTTGTCATTGAATTGACATTTAAAATTAATTAAAAATCTATTAACTTTTCACGTTATTTTACCAGAAAAAGAATAAATATTTTTTTATTTTTTTTATTATCGAATGTTTTGCTTTGTGCAGGGTCCAGATTTTGGAGGTTATGTTTACAACGTTTATCGCAATAGACAATAGAAACTGAGAAGAGAACAGAAATTTTAAAATTAACAGGTGAAACTCTTTAAATTATGGCAAAATATATAGTACAAATTATTGTTCTTGGAACTCAAGTGGTTGCAAAGGCCTTTGCGAGAGCTCTTCGTCAGGAAATTGCCGCAAGTCAGGAAGCTGCTCGTAGAGCTGGCGGTGGAGAACGAGGAGCACAACATGCAGCCGCTAATGCAAAATCGGGAATTTCTCTAGAAGAAGCTCTAAAAATTCTCAATGTCGAAAAACCAAATGAAGCAGAACAAATAGATAAGCATTACAAATATCTTATGGAAGCAAACGATAGATCGAAGGGCGGCTCATTTTATCTACAATCCAAAGTTGTTAGAGCTAAAGAACGAATAGACGACGAACTCGAGAATTTAAGTTCCCAAAAACAAAAAAAAACCTTCACGAGAAGTGAAAGAACATAATATTTCAATTGTTAACTTTTAATAGCCACGTTGTATATAAATTTACGATTAATTTCGATTTTATTGATAAATAAAAAGTCTAAGTTAATCTTAGAATATCCATTCTTTTTTACATGTATTTCCACTTTTTTTTTGAATTGGAAAATTATGTATTACAACTGAAAATAGAAATCAATTTTACGATGAATTTAATTAATTTAAATAACCAAAATTTCATAGTAAAATATCAATTTATTAGTTTATACAAAGATAAATTTGCAATTTCACCTGTGAAACATATTTCGCGAATTTCCCCTAAAAAACAAGGCTTACAATAATTAAGAATGAATTAAACACAAATTAACATTTCACTCTTAAAAAGATTATACAAAACTAAAACAATAAAAAAGGATACAAAAGAACTTAGAAAACTAAAAATAAAATACCTAAAATAATCGTTCCTTTTTCATTTAATGTTTTACGTATATATCTTTGAAAAACTTACATTTCAAGGTGAAAGAGCACCTTTTACAAAAAAATCTCGAAAATTTTACATTTACATTTTTAAATTCGTTTTTGATTTTACATTACAAACTATTTGTTTTTAAATTTTACACTACATTTCAAAATATACAAAAATTTCGCTACATGTTTTCTACAAAAATTTCCAAAAGTTTACACTACTGTTCAAAGTATAAATATATACACACTACTACACAAAAAAATATTAAAGTATACATTACATATATTTATATATAAAAAAAGACTATGTACTTTGAATAAATATTTGTTCTTTTTTTCCTATAATAAGTACAGTGATTTTTGAAATCATTTATACAGTCTTTATAAAAAAGTAAGTACTCGCTCTTATACGAGTCCTTTCAGGTACGATTTAAAATTACTTTTTTTTTAGAAAACAAGATAATAAATAAATAATAAATAACTTAGTGCGCTAATCCAGCCAATCTTGCATCCTGTGGCTCTATTCGATTTTGTGTTTGACGAATGGCGAGTCTTTCTTGATTGTGGCAGACTGACCACAATTTCGGTAGAAATCGAGGCTTCATTACTGTTAAAAAATGTTCTCTCCAAAGCCTCTCGAGTTCCACCAGACCGCCTTCTGTTTTCTCAAAGTGGCGCACTACCTGCAATTTTTGGAAATTTTTGTTTATAATCAAATTTTTTTTATTTTTTTTGCATTTATTATTTGAATACTTTTCACTAAAAGTCGTTACTAAAATATTTAATTAGAGAAGTAAACAAGCCACGGATTGACTTTAGTGCTAAAAAAAGTCGAATAGAGATAAAAAAAATAGAAAAAGTCGTTTATTTTTTATTTAGTTTTAAAAGAAAAATTCATTTTTTATTTCTCTGAAATATTTTTTCTCTTTCGCGGATTTCTAAATTCAATTATTCATCACTTTAATAATTTTCTACAATAAATATTTAATTATTATTTATTTCTCCACAAGGATTAAATTTTAGAAATTTAAATTTCAAACCTGAAGTTTAATTATTTTTAAAAATTAAAACTGAAATTCCTTCAAAATTTAATTATTTTCTAGAATTTTTAACTAAAATCTTTCTCTAAGTCAATTATTTTTAACAATTTTCCGAAAAATTCTTCGAGTATTCAATTATTTATAAATAAAAATTCAATTTTCTTTTATAATTGTAACTGTAATTTTTTATTGTTTTTCTCAAGAAGTTGTGAACTATTAAAAAAATGTAAACCAAAAATATTGAAAATAATTGATTTTCAAAAAAAATATTTAAAAAATTCTTAAGGGTATTTGAACCATTATGACGTCACAGCTTTAAAATACATGCTTTGCACTAACTGTGACGTCACAATGGTTCAAATGTCCTTAAAAGCAGTTTTTTGAAAAATATATTTAAATAATTTTTGAAGGGATTTTTAATTACATATAATTGAAAAATTCCCAAATAATATTGAAATTTAATAACAAAATTTTGCTAATAATTGACTTTTTTAAACGAATTTTCGGAAAATATAAAAAAAAATAATTAAGATTTTAAAGAAAATTAATTATAAATTCTAAAGATAAATCGAAAAGAGTAGATTTTTTTACTCTTTCTACTCTTTTTCTAACTTTTCTCGAATAGAATTGAATTTTAAAGAATTAAAATTAAAAAAATTCTAAGAATTAACTTTTTAAAAATATTGTAATGTAATTTTTTGAAATTGAATTTCTTAAACGATTTTATGGACTGTTTAAAAATTAAATAAAATAATTTCTACAAGAATTTTAATTAAAAATTTAAAAAAAAATTGATTTCTCCAAAAATTTTGATAAAAATAAGATTTTTTAAAAAAATATTATATAATTATTCATTTTATAGATATATTTGAATTTTTGGAAATATTTAATTGAAAATATAAAAATTTATAATATAACAAATTCTGAGAATTACTTTTTTAAAAAAAAATATTTTAATTTAATTTTTTAAGCTAATTTTTATTAATTTTCAGTTTCATATTTTCAGTTGAAAATTTTCCATAAAAATCTTTAAGAATTCAATTATTTAAAAAATTTGCAATTAAAATTCTTCAAAATTTAATTTTTAGAAATGTTAATAAAGTAATTAAAAATAAATTATTTCTAAAAAAATTTGATAAAATTTCACTATTCACAAGTTTTGAACATTCAAATGAACGACATATTTTCTATAAATAATACTTTTTTAATTTACTAATTGCAATAAAAATTAAAAACTTAAATTTAGAAATTTTAAAATTTATTTATACATTTAGAAACTTTATAATTAATTTCTTTTAATTATAAATTTTCAATTATTAAGGGTCAATTTCATCAATATCGATTAAAAGTTAATGAATGATTAACTAATAAATAATTAGTTAATAAATAATTAATTAATTACAATCAATCAATCGTGAGCCATTAAACTAGCTTTAATAATAATTGATTAACTTTTAATTGAGATTGGTGGAATTATCCCTTAAATTATTATTTTCTTATGTTATATATTATTATAAATTAATTTTATTTACCTTAAGACCGTGTGGTTCAGTCTTACTGGAAATTTTGGGCTCGGGTTTAGTTTTGAGCCTCTCGTGAAGAACGTCCAATAGAATCGGTGAAAATTCGCGTTGTCCAGTAAATTGCAGAATGTAAGACTCGAGATCCTTGCGTCTTTGTGCAGGAATCACGGCCTTACCTCTTAATGCTCTTACTGCCGATTGCAATTTTTGCCATCCTCGGGGAATTTCGTCCCTCGTATGACTTGACGGTCCTGGTAGCGGTGCGTCGCACATTTGCGATAAACGTCTTCTTAATTCAACATCGTAATAATTACTCACTTCGTGACACGATGGACAGAGCAGCAAAACATCGTGAGATTGATGCGCTTTCATTACAACTGAAACAAAATTTACAAAATAAAAAACCCACCAAAAGTAAATTTTAAATTTCGTGTTTTGTAATTTTCAACTAAAATATTTTGTAACTTATTTGTAAATAATTGCTTCCTCATAGAGGAAAAGTTGTTATCCTATTTGTAAATACTTTTGCAACTTAGTAAATAAAAATGTAACTAAAATTTCGAAATTGACACTAACGTGGAAAATATTTGCGATATTCTCTTGGGACAACATTTTTGCGGACAAATTTTTCATTGGTACCACAAACAACACACTGATTGAGTTTCACTTGAGTGTAGTACTGGCCAACTTCGCCCAAAGCCCGTCCAGACGGTTCGAATTTAAGTCTCACTGTATATGGATCTTCATTAACGACTTGTCCCAATTCTTTCGCAACATACCACTCGGCCTTCTTACGATCACACGTACACAGAGTATCTCCATCCGGAGCTTGGAGATAACAATTATGATACAATGGTTTATTTCTCGCTGGAATGCTATTCTTGTTCGATGTAGATCCATCAATACTTCTATTTAATATTTGATTTAATTTATTATTGTTATTATTTGAAGTTGTACTACTGACTGCACTACCCCTTTGAGCCTTGAACCTACAAATAAATTAACAGATCAAATACACTCGAAACTAAAGAATTAAATAAATAAAAATTAATAATTTAAAAAACTAAATAAATAATTTAAATATTTTTTACTACCTCGCGTCGAGAACGCCATTAGGTAAGCCATAAAATTTTTCATCTTCATCTTTCTCCCAAATGTTCTTAAAGAACTGTACCAAATGTTGCCACAGTGATCTCTTTCGTTTCGCTCTTCGCAAAATCTAACATAGAAAAAAGTAATTTTAGAACCAAAAAAATAAAAGAAATAAAATAGAAGAAAAAAATTTTTTTTTTAATTTTCTTCGAAAAATAATAAATTTTTGTTAAATAATGTTGAGTCATCACCTGATGGTATATAAACATTGAAGCTAACGCATCATAAGCTGCATAAGCAATTTGATCATCAGTGAGAGTGTCATTATTCCAATCACTGCATCGAATTTCCACAACTTTTTCCAATTCAAGCCCAAGATATTCTAAGCTCAATGCTGCCAAACTCTTTGGACTCGGAAGATCAAGACGCTCTGCAAGAGTCCTGAGATCCAATGTTCCATAAATTTTACATCCATAATCTTTCGTTAATTTCCTCCCATCTTCGAATGGAGCTACGCCCACTTTCAGAAGGTGTCTATTTGACAGCAGCTCCTATATTCATTGAAATAATAAATAAATAAATAAAAAATACAATCAGGTTTGCCACAAAAATTTTATTTTATTTTCCCCTAACTTTTTCTTGATTTCCAGATAAAATTTTGACTCTTTCCCTGACCCTAGAGAATATTCTGATTCACTCTAAAAATGATTAGATACTCAAAAAAATATTCTATTAAATTTATTTACGAATTTCCTTAATTGTAAAATTATTCAAAAATACCAATGACATTATTTTCAAATAAATATTTAATCATTATTATTTTTCCATGAAAACGAAGATTTTCAAAATTTCGAATTCAAACCTTTTGAAATTCAATTACTTATAAGTAATATTATAAACTTATGAGAATATTATTAAAAAACATGAAGATATAACATATAACATGAAGATATTTGTTTTTAACTCAATTTTACAAAATTTCGATTATTCGGAAATTCATTAATATTAAATATACATTAGAAAATATAAACTTCTAATAATTTTTAAAAAATTCGATTAAGCTTTTTGAAAAACATTAGTTCCATAGAATTTTTTTCAAAAAGTATGAAAAATTCAAATTGTCAAAGATTTTAATTTAAAACTTTTGCAAAATTCAATTATTTCTAAAAATTGAAATTATTAGTAACTCCTCAAAAATTAAATTATTATCTAAAACTTTATCTGTAATTAATTTTTAAATTAATTTTTATTAGAAAATTACACAAGAATTTAATTATTTAAATACAAAAATAAATAATAATTTATTGAACAATTGAATGTTTTTTAAAATTGAATTCTCATAAAGAATTTTATTCAAAAATTTTTAAATAATGGAATTTTTTCGACGAATTTTAATAAAATTTTCAAAAAGAATACATTTTTCGAGGAATTTGATTAAAATTATATTAAAAATAATTGAAATTCTACAATGAGTATTATTTATAAAAATAATTGAATTATTGCGAAGAATTTTATAAAAAAGTTTCAAACAATTGGTTTTTTTCGAAAAAATGTATTACAAATTCTATTTTTAATAATGAAATTCCTGTGAAATTTTCATTATTTTAGAAAATAAAATTGAATATTCGTGTACAATTTTGTTAAAATTGTATTTAAATAATTAGATTCTTTTGGGAAATTTTATTAAAGTAATAGATATACAAATTATTGAATTAAAACAATTTTTTTAAATAATTAAATTTGATTACTTTTGAAAATAATTCAATTCTTGTGATGAAAATTGTTATGTATTTATGAAAATAATTGACTTCCTCCGAATGATTTTATTATTTATGAAAATAATTCAAACCCTGAAAAGAATTGAATTACTGCGAAGGATTTAATGCAAAAAATTTGAAACATTTGATTTTTTCTAAAGAATGTATGCAAATTCTATTTTAAATAATAGAATTCTTGTGAAATTTGTATTTTTTTTTTTTGAAAATAATGGAATGTTTGTATAGAATAGTATCAAAATTTTTGTTTATTAATTAAATTCTTTTGGGAAATTTTATAAAAATAGTAGAATTTTGAAAATCATTGAATTAAGAAAAATTTTTGAAAATAATTTAAATTTTGCCATTAATTTTATTAAAATTTTTGAAAATAATTGAATTTGATTACTTTTAAAAATAATTGAATTTCTGCGAAGAATTTTATTAATTTTTTAAGAAATTGAATTTTAGCGAAGAAATTTATTAATTTTTAATATAATTGAATTTTTGCTATGAATATTGTTATTTATGAAAAGAATTGTATTTTACAATTAATTTTATAAAAATTCCTGAATATAATTGAATTTCAGCGAAGAATTTTGCTATTTAGAAAGATAATTGAAATGTTGACGAGAATTTTTAAAAATAATTGAACTTCTGGAAAGAATCTTAAGATTTATTAAGATAGTTGAATTCTTTCAAAGAAATGAGTTAAAATTTTAAAAATTAAAACTAACTTCAATAGAATTGAAATTAAAATTTTTCAAAAAATCGCAATAAATTTTCTTTAATATTACTAACGAAATTTTTCATATTCACGTAAAAAAATGCAATTAAAATTACTTTTAATTTTGGTGGAACATATCCAATTTTTCCAATTCGAAATAAGGCACAAACACCATTATCAGTGGCAAGTTGAAGTAATGAAACCGGTCCGTCATTGACCCATTCACAATCAAAGCCCAATATGCCGTTCGACAAGTCTCTAAAAAAATGTAAACATAATTAAAATCGAGAAATATTTGATATTATTGAAAACAATAAATAGATAACAAAAGATGATGATGATAATATGAAAGTAAACAAAAGAAATGTTTACTTTCAAATGAGTTATTCACAATTCTCTTACATGAAAATAATTTTCATCAGAATAATTAAATCGAATGAATAATTTCATTTTTAAAAATTTGGAAATTTTTCCCAATTATTCGAAATAATTAGGAATTTAATAAATTTAATTTAATAAAAGTAAATTTACCCGCGAATACGTTGAACAGCGTAATCGCATTGTTCTGGCGAATCAGCCAGAATAACCTTGTCTAATGATAGTTTTACATCTTTTCTATCTTCTTTAATTTCTTCCTCGTCATCCTTGCGATTTGTATTGGTGATACTGTGGCAAAATTGTTTGACACTCCGAAATACGTTGTCGCGATACTTGGAGGCCAAAAGGACAATTCCCACAGTTACACAAACCCCAAAGAACATATTTCTACGTACTTCCAGCATTAATTACGGCATATGTAAATAAACAGAACTACACAAATTACTATAAACAAAAATTTTATGACTAGCTTGATAATTATTTCCTTTTTTTCCCCCTTTTATTGAACTTCAATGACAGTTTTTTTTCCACTGGGATTTTAATGAATAATACGATTATTTCTTTACTAACAATCCTAACAATTGACGAAATACTACATTAACTTAAATTACACGAAAATAAATAAATAAACTGATGAGAAATTTTCTTTGCGCGTGTTTTTAATGAGGGTGGAAAAATTTTACCGGGGTAGCACACGATTTTTCAAAACAAACAAAAAATTTTCTTCTAAGAAGACAATTATAATTTAAATTTCACTTGTAAATTTTTTTTAAATGTAATAAACGGCTTTTGAAACCGTGAGAGGTTCAAGGGACCCTGTAGCATTTAGAAAAATTAGGAAGAATTTTAAATGATACACATGGCCACGGGTCCCACGCGCAACTGAAAAAGGTTAGAATTAAGTCGGAAAAGAAGAAAACTTCCCCACCAACCGATCAACTTCGACTAACCTAACCTAACCTAACCTCAAAACTGTCACGCCTGTCACGTTACTGTGCGATACAGAAAGTTACCATTGTTGCAATGACAATTTACAATGATTCTACAGTATTTATGTTGATTTATGTTGGTTAATTTTTTCCACTTCTTCTTCTATTCTCTTTTGTTTTCATGCGGCAAACAATGTGGACAAAGATAATTTGATTTAAATTTAGATAAGGTGATAAGAAACAGTGGTACATTTCTCTGATTTCTCTTACAATAACGTGTTAATTCTTAGTTAATATTTAAAATATCGAGAATATCTTCAATTATCTGCTACATTGTCACTGTGGTCGTACTTCAAAAAAGTAATTTTAAGTAAGTATTATATTTCTTTAAATATTTAACTGCAATTACTTTGCACATTTACCTCGATACGTTAGTGTGTTCCAATTTTGTGTGCTACATATTTTATCAATAACATTCTTTTCTGTGCATTCTTTTGCATAAGACTTTAAAATATTAAGAAAATTTTTTTTAGATATGGTAAACATTCCATTGGTGGGAACGATAAAATTCTTTATTAATGATGTTTTTAAAGAAAAAGAACCTTGGCAAATTGTTACGATAACTACAACCACGTTACTTACAAGTATTTGGCTCTGGGACTTGATTTTTCAAGATGAAAGTATGAAATTATGGAATTTTAAATATTTATAAATTTATGAGGTAAATTATAATTGATTTAATGATTTTTGTTTTTGTGTTAAGGTCTCGTTGAACGGGCTAAGAAAAAGGGACTTAAATTAGCTCGGTATATACCTTCAATCAGGGATAAAATTGATAATGAATTAAGCAAAGTTGTTACAGATTTTAACAAAGATGTTGCTAATAGAGTGAAAGATGTGCCATATATTATTCATCTTCCAGCAAAAGGTTTGAGCTCCGAGGAAATTTTGAAATTAGTCGATCAATATATTAAATTAGGTAAGATTCAAATTGAATACTTATTTCGGAAAAAAAAGCAATAAATTAAAATATTTGGAAGAACTTCTAGTTCTATTTTAGTATTTTCAGGCCTCGGATATTATAACTTTTTCGACTTTCTTCGACTATTTTAAAAAAATACTTCTTTTATAGATTTATTTTAAAAAATTGCGACTTTTTCTACATTTCTTTCAAATATTGCAACAAAATACCACATTTTTCGTACACAATTTGCAATTTATTTCGATTTCTACAGGGTAAAAAAAGCTATAGACAAATCTTTCAAAATTTTTTGTTGAATAATTTTCCTAATTAAATAAGGCAAATGAAAACGTTCGGACAATGAATAAAATTATATTTATAAATGTTTTCGTTTTATTTGTCTTATTTTATAAAAGATCTCGGACGTTAAAGATTAATTCAACTAATTTTCTAATTAAATTTTCGAAATACAAAATTAAAAAGATTTTGAATAATTGGAATTTTGTAAAATTTCGTTAAAAATAAATTGATTTTTTTCAAGTATTTTATTACAATTTTAAAAAATCAACTTTTGAAGAATGTTAATTGAAAATTTTCGTAAATAATTAAATTCTCAACATTTTTGAATAAAAAATCTTCAAATGTAAATTTAAAAATAGAAATTACTGAAAATTAGCTTCTAAAAAATGTATTAAAATATTTTTTGAAAAAAGTAATTCTTAGAATTTTTTTGATTCTAATTCTTTAAAATTGATTTATTTTCAATATTTTCAATTACATATTTTCGAAAATTTAAATACATAGAAAAAATAATAACATTAAAATTTTCTAGAATTATTTTTCACATTTTGGAGAAATCAATCATGTACAAAACTTTTTAATTATAATTCTTCAAAAAGTTAATTAGTTTTTTTATAATTATACAAAAATTCTTTTAAGATATTCAATTATTTTTGAAAAATGCCATTATAATATTTTTAAAAATCTAATTCTTAGAATTGTTTTAGCAGAATTTTTAAATTTATCTTCGCACAAAGTAAAAAAAAATTGCTTTTTTTACTATTTTTCAAAAATTTAATTATTTTTAAAAGATTTTACCAAAGTTTAATTGTTTGGAAATTTTTCAATTAATTGTAGTTATATGATTGAAAAACTATTATCTTTTAAGAAGTATTTAAAAATATTTAAACAAAATTAATTTTAAGAATTTCTTTTTGTTTTGAAAATAAACCTTAATAACTTTTTTTTTAAAAAAGGATAGTTAAAGTTACAATTAATATAAAAAATTGAAACGTCGTCGTATTCTTCTTTTTTAATTTTTTTCCATCAACTTCCAAAAGTCGAAAAAATGTCTGCCTAAAAAATTGAACTTTTGTATTTAAATTATTGAATTCTCGAAGAAATTTCAGAAAATTTTTAGAAATAAATAATTGATTTAGAGATGAAGTTTAGTTAAAAATTGTAGAAAATAATTGAATTTTGAAAGAGTTATGGTTGTAATTTTTAGAAATTATTAAATTTCATGAGGATTTAAATTGAAATTTTTAGAAATTTTATTTCTCGTGGAAAAACAAATAATTTAGAAATCAGAGAAAGGTCAGCGAAATACAAAATAAAATTTTTATGACAAAACTAAATTAACTTTTCCAACTTTTTTTTTGTATTTTTAATCGATAAAAGAAATTTTCTTTATTCCTTAAATTCGATCCGAGGCCTGTTATTTTGAGAATAAAATTATTACAGTGAATTAGTATTTACAGTAATTAAAATATTAATTACAGGTGAATACGATTGGCAAAGTGGCAAAGTATCTGGAACAGTTTATAAAAACGATAAAAATCTTATTCAATTAATGGGCAGTATTTATCAAATCGCTTCCTACACTAATCCCCTTCATCCTGATGTTTTTCCCGGCGTTTGTAAAATGGAAGCTGAAGTTGTGAGAATTACTTGTAATTTGTTTAATGGAGACGAAGCCACCTGTGGAACGGTAAATAGGCATTTATTTTATTTCTATTTAATTTTATTTACACGATTCTCTATAATACTACAATTAAAAATTCGATTCTCTATTTTATAACCGCTTATTATAATTTGTATTGTTATAAATACTTTGTAATACTTTTGAATAATTCTTTTCTTTTTTAAATACTTCTTTTCTGTTTTTAAATATTTTTCTCTTTTTTAAATACGTTTTTTTAAAATACTTTTTTCTTGTTTAAATACTTAATTCAATATTGAATTGAATTTTTTTTTTCAAAACGTATCAGACTTTTTTAATATATTTTAATTATTAAACGTATCGATTCTTTTTTCAGATGACAACAGGTGGGACGGAATCAATTCTCCTAGCGTGCAAGGCTTACAGAGATTATGCGAAGGAGGTGAAGGGAATCAAGAAGCCTGAAATGGTTATCCCCACAACTGCTCATTCGGCATTCGATAAGGCTGCTCAATTTTTAAAAATAAAATTACGCCTCGTACCGGTTGATTCAAAAACTTACACTGTCAATATCGAAGCAATGAAAAGAGCAATCAGCAAAAATACCATTATGGTAAGATAATTGTGAATTTCCAAATGAAAGAAAATTCACAAATAGAAAATTCTTTGCTTTCTTTGAAAGAAAAAAAAAATGATGACAAATTTTCTAGAATGAATTTCTAAAATTAAATTTTACAGCTCGTTGGATCGACTCCGAATTTCCCTTACGGAACAATGGACAATATCGAATTAATTTCAAATCTTGGAGTTCGTTATGATATTCCAGTTCACGTTGACGCTTGCCTGGGTGGATTTTTAATTTGCTTTATGGAGAAAGTCGGATATAATTTGCCGCCATTTGATTTTAGACTTCCGGGAGTAACGAGTATTTCTGCCGACACTCATAAGGTCGGCAATTTTTGTTTGTTAAAAATTAATTTCTCTCTAAGTTGAAAGTTTTTCTTTTTGCTTTCCCCGAAGGAGGAAATTTTATTTTAATTGAAATCTTATTTCAGTATGGTTATGCACCGAAGGGTTCATCGATAATTCTTTATCGTGATAAAAAATATAGAAATCATCAATACACAGTGTCAACGGATTGGCCGGGGGGAATTTATGGATCTCCAACTGTAAATGGTTCCCGGGCCGGTGGCATTATTGCATCCTGCTGGGCATCCTTGATGTATTTTGGAAACACCGGTTACTTGGAGGCGACGAGAAAAATTATCGACACTTCCAAATATATTGAAAGAGAGTACGTGAGAATTTAAACTCAAAATTTGTTTCGAGGAGTCAATAAGAATTTACTCCTTTAGAAAAAAATTATTTTTCTTATTGAATAAAGTATCATACAGGTTTTTTAAAAGTATTTTGTATTGGAAACGTATTTTTTGGAAAATCATTTTTTATTAGAAAAGTATTTTTTTATTTGTAAAGTAGTTTTTATTGGAAAAGTAATTTTTATTGGAAAAGTATTTTTTTTTGAAAAAGTATTTTTTTATTTGAAAAGTAGTTTTTATTAGAAAAATAGTTTTTATTTGAAAAGTAGATTTTATTGGAAAATTATTTCTATATTGGAATAGTATAATTTCTTTATTAGAAAATTATTTCTTTATTGGAATATTATTTTCTTTATTAGAAAAGTATTTTATTATTATTGATTAATTAATATTTCAGGTTGAGAAAAATGAATGGTATTTGCATTCTTGGTACTCCGGCGACTTCTGTGGTGTCAATTGGCTCCGAGGTCTTTCATATTTACCGACTTGGCGAATCGCTTAGAGCTAAGGGTTGGAATTTAAATTCTCTTCAATTTCCAAGCGCTATTCATTTATGCGTTACGCACGTTCACACTGAGAAAGGTGTCGCTGATCAATTTTTGGACGATGTACAGAACGCTCTCGACATTATAATGAAGAATCCGGATGTTCCTGTGAAAGGCCAGGTAAATTAAAAATTAAAATTGTAAATTTAGTATAAAGAATTAATTAAATTAAAATTTAAACTTGTGAATTTAGTAAACAATTAATTAATTAAATTTAAACTAGCAGGCCTTGGATAGTAAGACATTTTGACTTTTTTTCAACTATTTTTAGAAAATACAACTGTTTTCAACTTATTTTGATAAAATTCGACTTTTTGATGTAATTATTATTTTTTTTTGCAAGTCCACAGGAAAATCAGAATTTAGGAAATTTTATCCAAAGTATTGGAAAAATACCAAATTTCTAGAAATGCTACACAAAATCCAATTTTTGGTGTCCTTTGAAAATACCAAAATACTTGAATTGTCCATAAATTTTCTCTTCTATGTTAAAAATTTCAAAAAAATTATGAAGAGTTAGAGTTTGCAATTTTTATTTTTAAAAAATTAATTTTTTCTTTTTAAATAATTCAATTCTCAAAAAACTTTTTGAAAATTAGGAAAAACCATTAAATTAGAGATGAATTTTAGCTATAAATTCCAGAAAATAATTGAATTGTGAAAGAGTAAACGCAGAAATTATTAGAAATAGTTTCAATAGGTTTAAAATTAAAATTTTTGAAAAATTGAATTTTTAATAATTTTAATTAAAAATTACGGAGAACTGAGATAAATTTTAATTCAGTTTTTTGAAATTAAAAACATTTAAGTATATTATCTTTTTCCTTTTTTTGAATAATTGAATTATCGAATAACTTTCTTAAAATTATTAAAAATAATTTAATAATTAATTTTAGAGAAAATGTTTAGTTAACAATTCAAGAAAATAATTAAATATTTGAAGAGTTCTAGTAAACGTTTTTAGAAATAATTAAATTTCAAAAGGTTTCAGACAAAAATTTCAGAAAAATTGAATTTTTAATAATTTTAATTAAAAATTATGGCGAACTAAGACTTTTTGATAAATTTTAATTCACAGTTTTTTGAAATTGAAAAAATTTAAGTGAATTTTCTTTTCTTTTGTGTGATTGAATTATCGAATGACTTTCTTAAAATTATTAAAAGCATTTGACTATTTAATTTAGAGAAGAATTTTAGTTATTAATTTTATAAAATTATTAAATATTTAATTAGTCCTATAGTAAACATTTTGAGGAATAATTAAATTTCAAAAGGTTTCAAACTAAGATTTCTGAAAATTTAAATTTTGAATAATTTTAATTAACAATGATAAAGAAATTAGAATTTTGAAAAATATTCAATCAGAATTTTCTGAAATTAGATGAATTTTTGAATATTTTGTAATAATCGAAATTTCGTAATATTAAATTGAAAACAATTGAATCTTGGACGAATTTTAAGAGAACTGTCATTTTCTAAAAACAAAATACTCTCAAAAAAATTTCTCTAAATTATATTAAAATAGGTAATTAAAAATAATTAATTTGCAGAAGAATTTTAGTTAAAAATTGTAGAAATGAATTGAATTTTGGAGAAATCAGTGCAGTAATTTTTAAAGATAATTAAATTTCAGAAGGTTTGGAATTAAAAATTTTCTATTTTATTTTGATTTCATTAGATATTATTTAATAATTTATATTTGAAAATACTTATTTAAAATAATTATTAAACTTATTTTCGTAAATTTAATTAAAATTCTAGAAAATAATTGAATTTTAAAAGAATTACAGTTGTATAAATTTTTAGAAATAATTAAATTTTTATTATCGGAAAAAATTTTATGTTTTGAATAATATGATTACGAAAGGAAGTTAATTCATAAAATTTTTTTTTAATTCTAAAAATTTTTTACTGAAAAATGTTAATTTTTATAAAAAGAATTATTTAAAAATAATTGAATTTTACAAAGACTTATTAATTATTATTAGAAGGGAAAAAGTTAATTTTTTTTAAATCAGAAAAGTCAGGGAAATATAGAGAATTAATTTTTGTGACAATTCTAAATAAATTAAAACACTTTTTTTTTGTATTTTGAAATTTTTTTTGCTTCTTAAAGTCGATCCAAGGCCTGAACTAATAAATCTAGAGAACAGTTTATTAAATATTAAAATTCTAAATACTGAATTCAGCAAGCGTGGTAAACAAATTTTTGGATTTAATGTTATTATCATTTTAAAGAAACTTTTTTCTCAATTTCAGTTCGCCTTGTACGGTATGAGTCAAGAAATTGCTGATAGAAGTATTGTCGGTGATATCACGAGGAATTACCTCGATTCATTGTACTACACTCCAAACTTGAAATGAAAATTTATCAAAATTGCGATTTTAATATCGTGTCTACCTTTGACGTTACCTACAAGAAATTATGCCGTCTTCCAAATAAGAGAAATATTCGAGATGAATGTATGTATCAAGGTACGTGAAGTGAATTTTTTTTTATCTTATTTTTACTTTTTCGTGAAATTTTTTATGAGGTGTGGAAAATGGAAAATGTGTCGGAAAAAAAATATTTTTTAACATAAAAATTTAAACGGTTCTTTGTGCTTAAAACTGAAAGGAATAAACAATTGAAACGTTCGATGAAATATGGAAATTTGTATTTTTCCAATACAAATAAAGACTGTTTTTTATAGGAATGTTAAAAAAAAAGACAGAGATTTATTCACTTGTTAAGTAAAAGAAAAAGAAACCAGCTCAAATTCAGAATTTTATTAAGAATGTTAATATCGCTTTTGCTATGAGATATTTTATTGATTAAATATCAGATATGAGGACAAATATTTGAATAAGTCATTTCATTCTAATGGAAATAATTTCTCCATTCCTTCGTAGAACTGTAAAAAGAGTGTTAAATTCTTCGACTTAGTTCTTTTTTTATAAAGTTTTCTCATTTGTCAAGAAAATTCAGAAACATAATTTCTCTAAAAGAAAAAAAAAGTGAACAGAAAAAATTCTGAATTGTATTAAAAAAAAAAATTGAAAATTCAACATTATCGAAAGAGCACAACAACTATTTGGCATACTTTATCGATCTGTGAACTGATGCCGGAAATACCAGCACGTACCTTTAAGGAAGTATTTATAATTTATAATTATTTTAATTCTTTGGAACAATTTCTTTTAATGAAAAAAAATAAATATATTCGTGCATTTAAGTACCACCTAAAATTGCAGAAATTATAATTTACAAATTAGACGACTGCTGACTATTTTATTGCTTGCCTTGATCTAATTTTTATTAGGAAGTACACAATCAGTTTAATAATCACAGTAAATCATCGGTCATCGAAATAAGTCATTATTTCATTAAAACTTGACAACTTAATAATTATTGAGGGGAAAATTCTGATTTCAATCAAATTAAACAAAAATAAATACAATAAAATTAAATTTAAAAAAATTGAATTAAATAAATTTAAATAAAATAAATTTAAATTAAATAAATTTTTAAATAAAATAAATTTAAATTAAATAAAATAAAGTTAATTTAAATTAAATTAGGCATTAAATTTAATTACGATAAATTGAATTAAAATTAATATATTGTATTAAATTAAATTTTTTCCAATTTCTTTATATTTGAATATTTTTACTTTTCTAAAAATATTTTATCGAATAAAATTTTGTGAACTCTGACAAGAAAGGTTTTCTCCCTTCTGAAAAGCTGAAGTTCACGAAGTCGAAGTGAATTTTTGTTGCTTTTCGATAACTTTTTAAAACCATTATGGATTACATTCTCTAAAATTTTTATTGGCAATGAATTTTATTGTTTAAGAAGTTTACTTTAAAATAAATAGTTCAGTCGATGTTTGAAATTAATATAAGTAATTTAAAAGTTAGAATCGGAATTTATTTTGTAATAATATAAATCTTAACATATTTCAATAATAATAATAATAAAAAAAAAAAAAATAATAATAATAATAATAATAATAAAATAAAAGTAAAAATAATATAATAATTCGAAAATTAAAACTTTGGGAAAATGTTGTATAATTAAAATTATAATAAAAATTATAATAATTCAGGGATTTTAAATATTAAAAATAATAATAAAGTAATAAAATTTGTCCGTGAAAAAAAAATTCTTCCAATTATTTCCCATTAGAATTTCAATTTTATTTTTAGTTTAAATTGAAAAAAACGACGATTCTAAAATTTACCAATATTTATTTCAATAATCGAGACATTGGTCGAAAAAAATTAATTAAAAAGTTTAAGAAGTTATTACAACTTGTACTGTATATATGTATATTAATTTCAAAGTTGAAAGTCTATTTTCAATTAAAAATTCAGAAATGATATCGTGATTTCAATTATAGCTTGAGGGTAATAATTAATTCATGTGTATTTAAGATTCAAGAATTTTCAAATGAAATTTATGTTTATATAATATCAAATTGGATTTTCGAACAATTGGTATTGGAGTGTAATTGGTGAGAGTGCATTAATTCTCAATATAATAGTTGATATTGTTTGCACAGATAATTGAAAATATCCTCAAACATTATATATGACAATACAAAATTTATAATGCAGATTTATCTGAATGAATCTAGTTTTTTTCTTCTTGAAGAAAATTTGTTACATATGGTATTATTTTTTCCAAATTTTTTTCAATAATTTATATCTATAGAATAGTGTAATTTTTATATACAGTTCTCAAAAATATTAATTTTAATATTTTATTATTAATTATTATTGACTTTTATTTTTTATTTGTTGTTTCATTTTATTTTTTTTTAAATTTAAATTCTTTTTAAAATTTAAAAAAATTATTTATGTTACCTATAATTTTAATTAAAATAAAAAAATAGTGCTTAATATTCGTATTTACTTTATTTTATTTTTTTTTGTTGGGGAAAATAATATTTTTCTATTGTGTATAAAAGTGAAATTATTACAATTTTTGAATTAATTTTTGAATTTTACTTTTTTGAAAATTTTTCAATTAACAGTTTGTAATTTATAAATAGCAGTGCGTGTAAGGTATCTGAATGTATTCACTTGCTGCTTCCTTTATCTGATACTGAAACAGACATTGTTTTAATGCCTGAATTCCTAATTATATCCCTTGCCAAGTTTCCGTTGAATATCACTGGTAACTGCTTTTGAGATTCCACACAATCAATTATTACAATTATTCCGCAGTTTCCCATTTGTAAAGTGATGTAATTTTTTTTCCTTTTTAGTAATTCACAATGTTCTCATTATATTAACTAGTTGGATACAAATTAGTAACAAACTAATAACAATTAATTTTCATAATTAATAAATTAAATTGGTAAATTAATTTTTGCAAATAATAAATTTAATTAATAAATTCACTTTTACAATTAAAAAATTTATTTAATAAATCAATTTTTGCACTAAATAAATTCAATTAATGAATTAATTTTTGCACTTAATAAATTAAATTAATGAATAAATTTAGTTAATGAATTAATTTTTACACTTAATAGATTTAATTAATAAATTAATTTTTGCAATTAGTAAATTCAGGTAAATTTAATTAATAAATTAATTTTTATTTGCATTTATTATTTGCATTTTATTTATTAGGTATACATTTTTTTGTTTTTTTCTTTTATTATTCTCTTTATTTATTCTAATATTGTATTCACGTTTTGTTCTTTTTGTACATTCGTTTTTGTATTTGTTTTCTGTATTCATTTTTTTTTGTATTATTTTTTTGCGCACTCTTTTTTTTACTCCTTTTATTCTTTTCTATTATATTGCATTCTCTTTTATCACATTCGATCGTATTCTATTTTTTTTACTTTCATTGTTTTATATTTTATTCTCGCTATTATATAAATTATTGTTATTTTATGATTTTATGCTTAGCTTCTTTTGTAAATTTTATTCCATTTTCTGTTTTGAGAAATAATATTTATTTCAAGTTGTAAATAAACAGATGTCTCTCTGAAATAGAGTTCGGTCTTTTATATAAATAAAAGAAAATTGCTTCTTGAGATTAAAAAAAAATGGAAGAAAATTTCTAGAAAAAATAAAATTATAATTTATTATAATTTATTAGTTTTTTAATTGCATAATTTTAATTGGAAAAAAATTTTTTTTTCAACTAATAAATATCAATAAATTCATTAATAGTAATATATTAATAAATAGGAATAAATGAACAGTAATAAACTAATAATTAGTAATAAAATAATAATTAGTAATAAATTAATAAATAGTAAACAATAATTAAGTAGAATTTTGCGGCAAATTATCAAAACCAACAATTTAGCGAATAAATTAATTAAAATATTAATTAAAATATTAATGAAAATTTGGACAATATTATAATCGACATTTAATTAAATGTCATTATTGATTTGATTAATTTTACACACGATGTTAATCAATATTGAATTTGTTAATTAAAATATGGATTGTAATCTTCAATCAGAAAATTATTTTTTTTTATTAAAATACAAAATTTCTTTTGTTTATACTTGCGAGGGATATTAATATCTATAAAATATACAATGAGCTATTTTAGTTTTAGGATAATCAGGACAAAATCCTTTTGTGAAATAATAATGAAATTAATTATAATTTTATTCAGAGGGTAAATAAAACATACGCATATAATATGTGTGTATATATATGTATATAAAGTCGGTGTTGAAAAGTAGATTATTAAACAGCAGAGTATTGTTGTCTCTTATTGTTTTCATTGAATAATGACTCAATGAAGACAGTTTTACTACTTGCAGTCGAGTAATAAGCGCCGTCTGTAGAAAATAAAGTATTGAGAGAATCCCTACCCGAAAAAAGTTTATCTATAATTAATTTTTTTTATTTTACATTTTTCTTACTATACTTATTATACTTATTATACATAGAAAAAAATTTATTTCATTCAAATATAATTGATTATATAAATATTTAATTAAATATATAAAATATTCAAATAAAAAATAAATATTTACATATTGAATCAAATAATTTTTTTAAGTCAATAAAATTGTATTTGAGGAAATAATTTCAGTATTTGAAGCAAATTCCATTTAATTGATTTAGATAAAAATTATTTGACTCAAGTGAATATTTATTTGATAATACTGTTAAATAATAATAATCGATTGATACTAATCGGTTCTTTGAATCTCAATTTGAATGAAAAAAACATTTTTCCCCAGTGTAGGATTTTGATTGAGATTTATATTTTTTATTGAAATCTGTATCTTTGATTGAAATTTACATTTTTTGAAAAATATTTTCTATATGGAAAATTTAAAATTCAATTTATTATCTTTTTTTTATTATTATTATTAAAATAGAATTTTGTTTCTTGATGCTACAATTTTGTTTTATATTGTACACCACTTGCAAACTTATTTTATTATTATTGCTATTATTATTTATTATTATTAAAATAAAATGGTGATAAAGAATAATTTTAAAAAATCATTTATAAAATAATTAAAAATAAATTCTTATTTATAATAAATAATAGTGTAATTATTGATACCATAATTATTGATAAATTGAATAAATAAATTAATTGATTTAATAAATAAATAATTAAATAAATTATTTTTATTAAATTTAATCATTTAAAAAATTTTTGTTTCGTTAACTTACTGATAATTTTTGTTTTTAATTTCTTGTTGGAATTTGAGATAAACAAAAAAAAAAGTGTTAAAATATTCTTGAGAGTGAAAATTCTTACATAAATAAAGTGTTTTCGTGTTAAACATAGAATTTCTCTCCTTAGTCCTTTAAGGGTGAAGAATAGGAGTAGGTATGAGTATACACATATATCTATTGAAAATAAGTTCAGTTCCCCTCCAAAGTTGCTGTTTAGAAATTTCTTGAACAGAAGGGATTCTCTTTTCTTGTTTGTTTTCACGAAGTAAATATCCTTTTATAGAATGAAGTATCACTAATTTTAATTAACAAAACTTTCTTTACAGTAGACTTAAGCGATAAGAATGTATTAAAAAGTTTTTTCCAGAAAACTCAATCATGAAAGATCAATTTTAACTTTTTGTTGTTTCACTATTATAATGTTGTATATAAAACAATAAGAACAGAGAATTTGGATATTTTTTATACTAAACAATTTTTATTTTAATATTTATTTTAAGTAATTATTATTAATTAATTAATTACTCATTTATATTTAATTAATTTATTTGTTTAATTTATTTCGAGATTTATTTTAATAAAATCCTAAATAAATTG